AACTTCTAGGAAAAAACACGGAACTCAGTTTGACCTTAACACAGATGAAAAATGAGAAGCCTAAAAATGCTGTTGGATCTTGTCTGCTGCCTTTATATCTCAGTGATAATGTTTGCTGAGCTGTAAGCACACTTCAGAAACCTTATCCCAAAAGATATTTCTTAGAAATTAATGACAATGGAATATGAGGACTTCCAGCATTTCTGACTCAGAGCTCCCTGCAACACCTTTAAACTCCAATGGAAAAGTTCCCCTCTTCCTCTTCTGTACTTTGTCACGCACAATGTGCTGCTGTCTCTGTAGGAATTGTTTTATCTGACTTAGTTATGTTCTCAAACAATTGTGCAGAGGTAGAAGTAATTGAAGAGTTTGGAAAAGACAAGTGAAAACAAACAGGTGCAGTGTTTCACATGACCACAAAACCACAAGACTTGAGAAATCCAGAATGACCTTTTTCCTGAGAATGTATTCATTCCTTCCCCCTTTTGCATGTGTTTCAAAGTAGACTCCTTTGTTTGAATTTCCATAACTCCCCCAGGCAATGGCTGAGTCTGTGCAAAATACTGAACCCACACTTACAAGAGATGACATGTAACTTGGATATTAAGATTGCAAGCTAAGAAAAGCAAGTCTAGAGGTACTGCATGATTAATGAAAATAACTTCAGTAAAATAGACAGGGATTTTCCCTTTGGGAAGAATTCATTGTTCTCAGGTTCCCAGTTCTCTCCTGCATCTTCAGCAAGTGTTGTGTCAGGGAGTAAATTTGGCAAGATTTCATTGAGCTTGTGGGAATAATTGTGTCGATTTTACAGAACAGGGTGGTACTGGGAGGAATCGAGACGGGATCCTCTCTCAAGAGGAGCTTCTCAAGTCTTCCAGGAATTGCCAGAGTTGCCGGAAAGGACACACTATTAGGCAAGCAGTGGTTCTGTGCAGGAATGTTATCTCTGATCATACACTTATCTTTACAGGAGGCAAGCTGTGTCAAGGCTGAGTTAACTAAAGGATTCTGGCAACTTTCATGCACCAGCTAAGCAGCCTGTCCTGTTACAAAAAACAGTTCCCTTGAGATGATCTGTGTAATGTTCATGGCCCACTGTCCAAAGTAAAGAATCAAGTCTTAAAATGTGTCCTATTTTGGATGTTGCTCATGGGTTTTTAGCTGATCAGTTGATTGTATGAGAAGCTGCACTTGGCTTTCAGGTAGCTCCCCTCCCTGGATAGTAACACAACTTTCTTTTCCCAGCAAATGCAGCCTCATCAGCCCCTTTTCTCTCAGCTGTGACTGGTTGCTGCCTTTTGTCTCTGTGGGCCCAGAGGCACTGACCAGGTAGAACATCAGCCACTGGCTGTGGAGCTGTCTTGTGCCAGTGAGCTGCAGAACAGTCTGGAGAGCCCAGCATAATGATTTTAGAGAGAGACACCTTTCCCCTCCAGAGGAACTTTAAGGATAAGCTTTAGAGTCTACAAGAACTGCAGTGGAATAGACTTTGCCCATCCATTTACCACTGTATATATATATATATATATAAGTGAGGGTAGGAGAGCTTCAGATTCCCTTCCTCCTATTTGTAGTTTCTTATTGTAGCATCAAATGAATTGGTGTGCACTTGGTAGCATATTATGAGGAAATTGTCTGTCATCCAAACACGTTAATGATACCTGTACCTCACTCTTACTTTTATCCCTTACATAGATTTGGGAAGTGTAATGCTTTTCCTTCTGATAGTTGATGGCTTTGCAGTGCACAAAGTTGGCTATCAGTAGCATTTCTCTTGTTTCATATTTGGTAACAGTGGCTTTGCAGCTACCCAGATGGCATCTTTTAGAAACAGAACCGATAGATCAAGTGAACTAAGTGGTCCATGTAGTGCAATTCCTAGAAATCCCTTGCTGAAACTGGTAATCAGTTGAGTTTCTGTATCATGTTCTCTGACGTGGAGCTGTTTTCTTTGACCAATCCTGCATCTCAAGTGTGTGGATATATAAATTAATTAGAGAAGGTGCTGGGAATGTCCTTCCTACTTCTTTGAGATTTTGAAGCATGGAGTGCTTGTCAAGCTCGCAGGACATCTTGGCTTGTCCACATCCTTTTGCATTAACGTTTAGGTAGCTTTTCCATCTGTGCAGTTTCTTAACACAGTTGCATTGAGTCACTCCCACTTACAGTTTGTGCTGTGATAGGATTTGTTTGATTTCCTGTGTACCAGTTATACTGAGTCTTCGTGATGAGAAGGGCAATGATGATTTGTGTTTTGAAAAACATACCTGAAAGATCATGTGTGTTCATGAAATGCATATAAATGGATGTCAACTTGATTTTCAGTCCTCCTCTACCTTAGAGTGATTGCTGCTAGTCTTTCTCCCCACCCTAGATACTGGAGCAGTGAAACAACCTTTTTAAAAAAAATACTCTATTCCATTTCATTTAATTATATGGGAATGGTTTTATATTTTGATAGAAAACAAAAGAAGTAAAATAACATCAGGTGGATTAGAAGTTCTTGTTCTTTTTGTTTTTCATCATTTTTTTTCTGCTTGTGGACTTTGCAGCTGTGTTAGGGTTTGCATCAGAAGAGAACAAGTCAAAAACAGCTTGTGAAAAGATACTTCTGTTGAAGTAGGTGAGCCAAGCTGATAGCTCTGGGTATATGAAGAGTTCCAAGTAGTAGAAAAACTTTTTTTTTATTATTTTAATATATTCCTTGTTTGCTTTCCCTCACTTTGGTGTTCTTGTGTTAACCAAAGTCTTTTGGTCTTTTACTGTCAGCCAGAAGTGGCAGAGCAATATTCCAGGTCAGTTCCCCTGTTACTGTGAACTCAGGGTTGGGGAATGTAACACAGATTGCAAAAATAGATTTGGCCGAGGTGGTATCACGATCAAGAGAGAGAATTAAATGAAACATGAATCCCAGTTGAAAAGCCAGTCCAGTTCCACTAAACTTTGCAAACACTAACACAACATAAGGCTTAGCAGCAGGAAACGGTAGAGACCACAGTATCCCTGGAAATGCAAGGCAATGTTCCCACCTGCCACCTGAGCAAGCTTCTCTGGTTTATACTGTAAAGAAGCCATGTAGTTCCAGCTGAAAGCACAGCAGCCACTTGCCCACATCACAGAAGGGTTAAATCCTGCTAAGGAAGAGAGCAAAACACTCCTGGCAGTTGTTTTTATGAGATATTATCTTTCAGGAGAGGGATTGGAAATAGATGCCACTAATCATGGCAAGGCCTGTGTAATTTTGTGTGGAACACTAAGATGACTGAGAGAGTAATTGCCCTGAAAAAAGAACTGTTAGGAATAAAGTGAGAAACTACAAAGGATGAAGAAAGGAAACAAAAACTGTTTTGGAGGTTAAAATATGTGAGGATAAAGTAAACGCTGCCAAAGCTCATGCTGGGTTAGACTTTGCAAAGGAAAGGAAAGCAAAGAGCTCTGTTCCTTAAGCATGTAAGTAAAAGCAAGGCAAGGGAAACCAGCAGTGGGTCCACAGTGAGGATGGAGCTGACATAAAATGCAGTTTAATGTATAGTCAATCAGATGGCCTTCCATTTCAGTTGGCATTGGACTGGGAGCAAAAGAGTCGGTGTGTAGCAAGATTGGGAAAGACTAATCCAATGATGCAGGAAGAAAAGTTTAAATATTATCATACTGTAATGATTGAAAATAAAATTGTGGAGTTTCACTGAAAGTAACTGGGGGACTGATCTTTGTGGTAGTGTCACTAAGGTTTCTGTCCAAAAAATAACAAGGAAAAAATCTGCTGAAATTTCAAACCCCCACCAATGCAGAGAAGGATGGGCACATCATTCACTAAGAGCTGCAAAATGTTGCCATCTGTGATGTTGAACAGAAATGTAATAGCAGAAAGTACCAGGTCATGCACTGAGAAAGTGGTGAGAATTTTGGCTACCAACAAAGTTCTTATCAGCTGAAAGCAAAGAAAGAGAAAGATCTGAACACCAGTCAGTGAGTAAATGCCACCAGTATTATGTGGCATATAAATAGGCAAGTGTGTTCCCAGCGTGTACCAGATGAGAGATTTGTGGCAGGGTTGTGTGTTACGCTGATAAGGCCTCATCTGGAAAGCTGTGCTCAGTTCTAATCACACAGGTTCTGGAAAGATTAATCCAAACTGGGACAGGTGCAGAGACCTAGGGGATGATCAGCACGCTGAAGAGCTTATCTTGTGAGAGAGTGGCTTGGCTTGTTTAGCAAAGCAAAACAAAAGCATGGAAATGTTGGGCTCTGTAAATAGTATAAGCTGGGTAAGGGTAAATGGTGGCATGTTATTCGAGCTAAAATATTAGAATATACTTCATTGAGTGCCACAGTGAGTGAAGCTCCTGTATTATTTTCTCCAACTGCCTGGGTCACATATCCTTGCAATTTTCTGGGATTTATGGGATTTTTGCTTGCAAACATCTCCCCAAGATTTTTCCCTGTGATTCATTTCATCACAAATTCTGATTAAAAAGCAACTTAACTCAAGTCTATAAAAAGCCTTAAAACATACTCCAGCTGGACCTTTTTCATTCCTTCACTCATCTTTAAGTAGTAACAATATTGTCTTTCTCCCTAACTCTGTAGACTTGACTGGTAACGATTTTAACACGCAGCAGGGTTGCCCCATAGCATTCCTACTGTGTCTCAGAAAATACATCCAGTCTGTGCCCAGGCCTTCCCCAGTACTTGTTACATAGACTCCATTGCATCTCTAGTTTTTGCAGCTAAAATGGCCCTGTTTCCTCTTTCAACTAGGACATTTAACATTTTTTTTAGCATCTATTAGCCTAAACCACTTAAGATTCCCTTTAGCAGTCTGGCTTCCCAGCAGGTTGTGCCAGTAGTGGCGAACAGGATAATGACATAAGGTATTCTCTCGCTTTATTTACCTCCCTCTGCCTCGTGCCCCTTTTCTCACAATCGCTCGGTTTTCTTAAAGAATTACGGTTCTGACTGTTGCATTTATTGTTTATTCACTGGCTTACCCTTAGGTTCTAATGTGAATGGGCTGGAGGAGCCCAGCCTCGCCAAGCGGCTGCGGGGCACTCCGGAGCGGATTGAGCTGGAGAACTACCGGCTGTCGCTGCAGCGGGAGGAAGAACTGGAAGAGGTTCCCGAAGAGACACTGGCAGAGCATAACCTGAGCAGCGTGTTGGACAAAGGAACAGAAGAGGATGTGCCCAGCAGGTTAGCACACATTGCCCATGAGCTTTTTTTATACTGGCTTTTGCCTGCTTTTCCCTTAGCTTTCCTTAACATATTATTTACCAGGTTGCCCTTTCCAAAGTTATAAAAGGAGTTCTGTGTACGTACACAGATATTTTATCTTGCGCTTTCTGTTCTAAATAGCTTATGACCATTCTTAGAAGACACTTCTAGGACTGTAATGCCATGAAATTAAGTCCTAAATTGGAACGGATTTTTTAATTTTTACTATTTTAATTGTCATGTAAATGAATTTTTCTTAGCAAACAGAACACGAATTCAAGTAGGAGGGGATTCCAAAGTTAATTTCTCTTCTGAATGTTTTACATTACAATTCAAAACTACTTTTGATTTCAAGATTCAACCTTGACACACATGTAGTCGTGACAGAATGCTGGTGCAATGCCTGAGAGATATTAATTGGAAGCAATAGTTATGGCTGTTAAAAAATATGTTGTACCTTCATGAATTTCTCCTTATCTGCAAAATGCTTTGTAAGAACACCAGGATCCATGTACGTGCAGGTAGAGCTACAGGAAACAGTTGTTGGAAGAATCATTGAGAGAAAATCCTCAAAAAGATGTTTGTGAACTTTATAGTGGATCACACACTTTTGCAGTCTTGATTTCTTAACAGGGTTTCAAATCATCTACTTGTCTTTATAGCAATAGCAACCCTTACCTTTTCAGCTCTGAGTCTGTCCAGTAGTCTTGAAATAAACTCAGAAAATGCTGTTATTGATTTCCTAAGACTTAGATCCTATGAACATATTCTATGTATGCATTACCTACAGATACAGAGCTGTATGAAAAATTGAATAATCTTGGACTATTTGTAGGAGATGCAAACTGTATTTTCTTCACTCGTCCTTCCTTTAGTTCCCTGCTCAGGTCTAGGAATTTTATCAACTGTGACAATATAAGCATTAATGATAGTAGGGATTTTTAGTCCTTTATGTTTCTAGCTCTAAAACAAAATTTACTAGTATGGAGCTATTCACTATTGTTATTCTTTGTCTTGATTTCAGTAAATCAGGACACAATAGACCTGCTCAATAAATGGCAGAAGACTTGCAAAGGAGAAGAGTTAGTTTAAAAAAAAAGGAGATTTTGGCATTTTGGCATGAAGTTGTTGGTCATCTCCAAGTGATGTTTTGTGGGATTATGGAGACTGAGGGCAGTATACTATTAGGTTAGCAAGTTGGATTTTGTCTCTTTGGGTGTTACATTTAGTTCCCTTTGTCCTACATTCATCCCCATAACCTGTATTAAAATGATATTTCTGTCTATAATAGACTGTATTGTCTAATTCTGGATGTGAAAAGCAGTGTTTAGTGGGCAACTCACACTCTGTCATAGGGAGAAAAGAGAAAATACATCAAATTCCTTGTCAGTATGACCTGGAAAAATTTATGTTCCAAATCTAAATATGGCAAGCAGTTTACTGAGAGCATTGACAAGGCTGTGTGGGCCAAACATGAGAGAGAATTTTCTAGGCAATGTAGCTCTTGGGTATCCTCTGTTCAGCTGTATCCACTCCATGATATGTCACAGAAAGAAGGCAAAAAAAGGGGGGAAAGCCTGACTACTTTTTCAGCAACAAAAGAAAAAAAGTTTTGACTCCTGCAACAAGCCAACCAATCCCTGATTTGATCATCTTCACTGTCATGGTGCAGCGCCGCAGGGTTAGGAGCAGGCAGAGGGGATGGGGAACTCTTTGTCCTCTCTGTGTCTTATGGAGTGGGGGGCTGGGCTTCAGGGTTCACTGAGGTGTGAGATCTAAGTCAGGCAGAGACCTCACATTTTGGTTGCACAGCTTCCTGTCACACACACACACTTGGGAGCATCCACGCTGGAGAGGAAGTTTACAGGAAACAGTACTCAGAGTATATTTTTTCAAAAGAGTTGATCTTGTTTAGGCTTCCACAAGAAAAAAGATCAATTAAGCAATTACACCCTGACTGTGTAGTCAGGGTATGAGGGGTGGGAAACCCTTTATATGCCTTATTCATTGCCTTTAACTTGCAGTAACTCCCAGTATGTCATCTGCAGTTTTGGTATCCCACTCTGTGGCCTTTCAAAGCGGTGTCGTAGGAGAGCTTGTGCCGTGTGGGTCCGCATGGCAAGGAAAGAGGTTCATTTCCACAGTTTGGGTTTTCAGTTAGTCTCCCCAGAACTAAGTCTGTGTACATACACCTTTCTAATGAGATATTCAAGTGCTTATACAAATTCCATAAAGCATCCTACCTTGGGTCTTTGAATTCTGCTTTATAGAAAAAAAAGAGTTCAGCTGTTGAATTAATTCCTATGGCACAGGGTTGCCATGCTGAAAGGAATGCCCACTATAGCAGGCCATCTCACTGCTGTCTTTCAGCTTCTCATTTCTCAGCATTCAAAGGTCAAACAAAAACCAAGTTATAAACAAAAGCCAAAGAAGGTAAAGTGAGCTATGCGATAAGGAATGTGTGTCGTCAATATTCCATGCGATAAGCCGCTGGTTGAAGAGCAGCAGCTCGTCCCGTTCAGCAGTCATGGCAACAATTTGAGCAGCAGTAAACCTTATTGACAGCACATGAAAACTCCAGCATGTGGCACCTGTCAGGTTTATTTCCATACCAAAGGCTGGGAAGGTTAATCAGGGAGGAGGGGAACATCACTTTTTATCTCTGTGACAATATCTGCATAAAGCCTTTGGAATATGCTTTGGTCTCCTGGAATATGCAGCGATTCCATGACTTGCACCAGTGTTTGTATTTCACATGTGAAAATCAGGCAGCATGTTAAAAATAAGTATTTGGTTCATGCTGTGAAAAAGTGGGTTGTAACTTGAGCAAAATAGTGCTATATGGATGCAGAACAGTGAGGAGAATTTAAGAGCCTCTGGACAGAAGTGTGTGACAGTCAGAGCATGAATGAAGTGTTTTCCTTATTAGGTTTGTTATCAAAAATAGGCTTTCAGACAAGTAGATGAATAAAATTATGTAAATATGATATTACCACTGCACAAGTTATATTTTATAGACTTACATGAAGTGTGAGCTTCATTATTTTTGACTTGTTGGTTTTCTCTTTCATTGTCTGTATGGGAATGGGCTCTGCCAAAGGCTGTTAACCAGTGATAATGGGCATAAGGAAGCAGAAATACTGTTCTCAGTTTATTCGCCCAAACTTTTAACTATTCACAGTTTTCTCCTTCAGTCAGATGAACTGGGCCTTCTAAGATTTATAGGGGAAGCATCCAACTTTTGCTCTAATAAATGCAGTTCTGTAATGTCAATGATCTCTTAAGGAAAAGCAAAGGTAGAGCACCTTTTCACCTTGCATATGAGGTCTCTGAGTGTGCTGTAGTTCTCATTCATTTTCCAGTGACAAGCACAACCACCTTTCTTCCCAATTCCTCTAGGTAGTCCAGCATGTAAGAGTGAGCCAGATTAAATGCCTTTGTATAGGTGGTTACATTTCTTGCCCCCGCAGTTTATGCTGAGGAACTGTTACAATTAAACAGAAGTAGCTTCTAAAAGGCAGTAATGTTTTACTGCTTTGTATAGTTTAGACTTTGCTGTGAGAATAATAAGCTCATTATTGTAATTATCTTTGCACTGCTTCCTACAGTTTCTTGCCTCTATGTACACTGTGTACTTAATTGGATACATATTTCTGTCTGTGATGTAGAAGAGTGAGTAATTTTGTATTTTTTTTTCTTTGGCTCCCCTTGGTTCACATACTGTATCCTTTGTCCTGATAGTTGTGTTGTGTGTTCTTTCTACTCCCAAAGCCTTCTCTGGTTCACAACATCAAGTGCCAAAATCATCTTAGTTATCGTAGCTGGCAGTAGCTGCCACATCAAAAGATGTGACCTTCTACATTCTGATACTGCTAAGAATTCTTGCACTAGTTTATCCAAAGCAATGTGATATGAAGAAAGTAGTTTCTTTTTGCTGTGTTCAGTTGTCATGAACTGTAACAATAAATGCTGCACAAATATTTGAACTTGGCTTCACAGGCACTTTTCTGCTGCTTCACATTCTTTGAAGGAAGCAGAACAAGGACCATACTGCAGTCCACACGTGATGCTGTCACTAAAATGCTTATGAAATGTTGAAAGCAGAAAATTAGTGTTATGTTTTGGGCTGGTGGGTATTGAAACAATTTGTCAGTGATCTGAGACTGATCGAGGAAACATTAACTGCGTAATCTTTAATATTATTATTTATTATTAACTATATAATCCTTTTTTTTTTTTCTAAAACCTTACAGTAGTTCAGAGTCTGAGATGGAGGAGGAAGATGAGGAGGAAGAGGATGAACTACTGCTGCCTCAGCAACCCCCTTCAGACTTGGGTGGTGTGCCGTGGAAAGAGGCCGTGCGTATCCACGCCCTCCTGAAGGGAAAGAGTGAAGAAGAGATTGAGGCTGAGGAGAATCACGAGATTGAGGACAAAGATGATTATGATGAGGAGGAATACGAAGAGGAAGAAGATGAGGAGTCGAGCGAAGGTTAGACTGGTTTGTCCTTTCTTTCTGCTAGACAACAGGGAAAACTGGGTTGAGTATTGGCCATGCAGAATGAGAAAGATTTGCCTGGAAAACTTCTCTTCTTCTTTCACATCTTTATTGCTCTGATTTTTTTAAGGGAGTTATTGTCAAGGAAAGCTTTGGGTGGATCATTGTGGACACAGAAGGACTTTGCCCACAGGGCAGTTAGAGCACTAGTACCAACACAATATGCTTCCCGTACACCATGCCAACATGTGCAATTCACAGCTTTGTGCTGCTGTATTGGTTTATTGTTGGTTTTTATTATTATTTGGAATTGGATTTGAATGTGCCCTTTGTTCTTTGGCAACAAGAACTGGAAGCATTGTGGTTGCAGTGCCTCCCTAAGGGGTAGTGCCCTATCACTGTAATCAGGACATTCCAGAAGAAGCTGCTTGTAGCTCTCCTTTGTTAAAAGATGGCCTTGAGAAATCAGGGAGTTCAGGTGCTTCCCATTTTAGCTCTGAGAGACTTCTGTGGGAAATCTTAGGGAAAGACTCGTTCCCCTGTGTTTGTGTCAATCATCAAAATGCAAAGTTTGTGCTAAGAATAGACATGTTTCCAGTGTTTCACCACCATGCCAAATTTCTCGCTGATCTTGTCTTTGTCTTTATACTCACATTTCCATTTTGTGGAGACTAGTAGACTCCAAAGAGCTTTTTCGTAAAGGTCTTTGGCTGCCTACTGCAAGCAGAGGTCCAGTTTTTTGAGCCTTAGTGGCAGCGTTGTTGATGAGCTCAGCAGGCTACTTGGCTACTTCTTCAACGTAGGAGCTGTATCTCCATGACTGAAATCTATGGAAATCAGGACTTCTTTTTAAGTCTGGTAACATGCATGTTGTGTGTTTAGTCTGCTGAGCCGTGGTGTTCTTGGACGGATGTTGTTCCATTCAAGCAGTTTTCCTGTCAGACACTGAATACAGCGGGACTACGGGGAGTTGCTGGATTTCCAGACAGTCTCTCTTTCTGATTCTGTCCTCTCTCTTTCTCTCTTTCCCTCTCTCCATCGCTTGTGTGTGTACACGCGTGTCTGGTGTTATATGTGGATGTGTGGTTCCCTCTGCTGTAGAGGGGGAGTATAACCCTTGGGAGAGAGAGCTGCAGCAAGGCCTCTGGCTTCAACGTCTCTCAGATGAAGAGGACTCGGGTACATGTAAAGGTACCCGTACACACCATCTCCACTTCCATTTCCCCAAAGGAGCGGGGAATGTTTTAAAGAGCAGGTCCCACATGAGAAGTTTCTGTGTTTTATTTAATTACCAGCTCCCTCAAAACTGATTCGGGAGCTGTTGTTATCTTTGTCTCCTCATCCAAGTGCCATGAATCAGTTCTGTCTTTGCCACTGGATTTAGTAAAATGATAAAGCTGCCAAGTACCTCAGGATATCTAGAAAGCTTGGACAATTTGCTACTGTAATTTGTATGAACAGTGACCTCCACATATTTAGGAGTTTCAAATTTGTTCCATACACACAGAGTACTTGCACCTGTGCAATATGTCAGACATATGGGATGCATTGAAGTGTGTCAGCAAACTTGCTTTTTTTGTTGTCCTTTGTTGAGTGTGTGTCTGTGGGGAGAGTCTGGGGGGCAACTAATCAAGCTGCAGTGATCCCTCAAGATTTTTTGAACAGTTGGTCATAAAATTAATCTGACATTCAAATCTAACTGGTTGTGTTCTCTTGCAGTTTATTTTTATGTTTTGGTTTGGGTTTTTTTGTAAGCACTTGGTCCTAATAGCTTGTTAATACTTATTTCCTCAATGTGATTCCTTAGAGCCAGAACACATAAGAGGAAAATCAAGTGCTTTCCTGCATGTAAGAGGGCATATGCAGTTGTCAAACTGCATATTTTGCAGCTTACGGTTTTAATAACTGTAGCTTGGCTTCTGACTTTTTATTTTTTTAAGGGGAAAAAAATTGGAAGAAGTGTTAACATTTTTTCCTCATTTAACTTTTCTGATGGTAAGAATGAGAAGTATTAGTAAGATGGCTGAAGGGCATATCTGAAGAAGTTCCTCTCATTGGAGTTGTTAGTGTGCTCTCAACCTGGCTCTTGAGGAGTTGATTTGCACGTGGCTCCTCATTCCATTAAAGTGAAAACACTGAGATTACCCACAGCTTATAAAGTGCTGATAGGTGCTACAGTGAAAATGGAGGGAAATGTTACTGTTCCAAATCTAAGTGCAATTACTGTTCAGCTTCCTGCACAGCTCAGCAGGCAGTCCTGAGGGAAGGCTGTGCCAGGTGTTTGAAATTCTCAAGCACTTAGACTTTAAAGAAGTGTTAGATTTGTCTCTTAGCCAAGCATCAGTCTTTCATGGCTGGCTGTGCTGCTCCTTATTTACTGGAGAAGGTGAGAGGGACCAGTGTTCTAACCAGGACAGGCTCAGGCCTCTGTCCAGAGGCTCGTGGAGAAATTATAGGTGTATATGTTACAGTAGTCTAAATACCAGAGAAATCCATTTTAAAACATGCAGATCACGTGGGACCTGCTCTTTCCAAGCCTTGCTGAGGGACTATATACTTCTCAGCCATTGCTGGCAAACCTAAACCTTTTAACACAGAATTTTGTGCGGCGATGCAAGTGCTAACTCTACTCATCCTGGGGCCTGCATGCGAGTGCTTTGGTATGGAGCAAGAAAAGCCCAGGTTCCTGTCCCTGCAGGATGTCCAGTGGCTCTGGTAGCCCATGTGGTTGTGCTGATTGATACAAAAACTCTCTGATGAGGCGACAGAGACATAAAACCGCTAAATACTTGGCTAAATTGTGAATCCCGCTCTGCATTTGAGTTTGTGCCTCTGAAGCCTTTTCCCCTTAATAACCATCTGATGATTCTGTCCTTCCTGCAGTTCCTTCTGCCTGTTTCTCCTGCAGTTTTAATGCCAAATCTCACACAAAATCATTCCTAAAATGCAAGGCCTGAACAGTTTGTCATATCTGGGAAAAACATGGCCAGGAGAGAGGAACTTCATTAAAATGAGACAACAGGAAATAACGAGTGCAAGCTCTAAATGCTGCTAATGTGTCCTGTTTTCTTCAAACACTACTGCACCATGTGAAAGTCTAACTGCTTTTGAGGTTCTAACCTGCAGAAGCAGTGTTTTGCCCTACTCAGTGGTAATCCAGCTGTTGTGAAAAATGACGTCCTACTTTATAAAGTAAGTGGGCATTTTTCTTTCAGTTTGAGACGTTTGCTTTTGAAGACCACTCCTGCAGAAGGTGAACAGGTGAACACCTGTCCCCTGTAGAACCAGTTATTTTTTTATGGATAAATAAAACCTGAGTTACAGTCCCGGAGCAGATAACAACAGAGACAGGGTCTATGAATTTAATACCTCAGAGTAGGTGCTCCCAAAGGTGGGTGTTCTGCAGCAGTTAAACAAGTTGCTTATCAATTGCTTTAGGTGCCTGTTGTTCCATAAGTAGCTGAGCTTTGTGTAGGCAGGTATTCCCTTCTGGGGAGGTGGGAGTGGCTGTTAAGTCACAATCAAAATGCTGTTATTCTTCAGGAAAAAAAAATCCCCCCTTTGAACAAGTCAGTACAAAAGAGCAGGAGTAAACAAAGTAGTGTTTTAAGTGCTAAAGTAGGCGTGTGCCCCTGTGTGCATGTGCACATGCACACATGTGAAACTCTGAGATCCATCATGTAATTTAATTCACAAAGAAATGTGTACCCAGCCCAGAAAGGAGTGCTTAACCCAATAATAGGGAATGAAAAACTTTTTGTCTTGGTGCATCAAACTACAATGCAGATTGTCCCTAGCCTTTAACAGCAAGACATCGTTTGCAATAATCATAATGAATAGGCTGAAGGAGCTGGAAATTTCTGCTAAATTGGTGTTTACATACCACATACTGTTGGACACCCAGAGAATGTCTTTCATTTCAGCGAAGCTTCTTGCAATAGAGATAATCTATAATTATTTTCTTTATAGCATTCCTCTGCCTTTGGAATGGCATTATTCAGCTTTGATGGGAAGTATGAGGAGCGCTATATTGGTGTATGCGTGCACACACAATGCCGAGCTTTTTCTGTCTGTCTTGCAAACTGATCTGAGCCAATAATATTTTCTTTTCTTATTTCCTTTCCTATATTGTGTTACCTTTCCTTTCCACTGCTCTCCCATCTTTTCCTCCCTGTCCTTCATACACCCTTCCTACAACCTGGTATACCATGCCCTCCTCCTGCTAGCTGGAAACCTTAGGCTGCAGCAGATTGTAAATCCGGTTGATCCTCTGGAGATCCTGGCAGATGTGCACTGGACACACATCCGTGAAAAAGAGGAGGAGGAAAAAATGGTCTCAGCCTCAAAGTCCTCCACCTCCAGAGGTAATATCCCCCTAAGCCCCACACCGTCAATTCTTGGATCACAGTTGCAGCTGTTTAACTGTTGGTTCTGTGCCCTTCGAGAGCAGTGACTTCAGCAGGGGCAGCAGTGATTGAAAGGAACTACTTTCAAATTACACTGAAATTACACTTGGTTAAACATTTTGCTTTTCAAGCCAGTGTCTGTTTAAAATTACTGCTTTCTCATCTCTGTGTTGTGACTTCTAACCCATTTGTCTGCCTGCTTCGACTCCATAGCATTTTTCTTCACCACACACATGATTTGGTGGTGCTGGAAATCTGCCCTCCGTAACCGACTTTAGGGATGCTAAAGAGAAGTTGTCATGTGCTTTTTGTGGCAGTGAGGACTCTACACCTCTCTAGGGAAAGCTGAAGGGCTGTGTCGTGTAGCTACTCCAGCAAAGATTGAACAGGATCAGCTTCTGTATTGAGCGTATTTCTCTACTGCTAGTTTTCAAAGAGTGTAACTGCATCTGGTATTAATAGGGAAGGATGGGGGTCAAAGGGCTTGCAAATCTGATGAGTGAGAGTTTTGACTGCCTGTGTTTAAGGTTTGGCAGTATATCTATTTTTTTTAATGTGAGGTGTGACCTTTGCGTGTTGTCAGTTACTTAAAAGGAAAACTTTGGAGGGGGAAAATGCTGGTAAGTCCAGTTCTCATGTGAGCGCCTTCCAGCAGTCTCTGCTGACCTTGTTCTAAACTGTATTACAGTGTGTCTTAAGGTAAGTATGTCACAGGTGCTTTACCTATGGATTTAATAAAAGTTCACCATGCAGTTGATGAGCAGTGCTCTTCTCCCAGCCTGCAACCACTGTGACAGAACTGTAGAGGGAGTAAGTATGCTGTGGGTTGTCTTTTACAGCAAATGTGAAATTCAGTTAAAAAGCCTGGGGCTTTACCTCATGTTTCCTATCATCTTCTATTCCAGATAATTATCTTTTCCTCTCAGTTCTAGAAGTTTGGTGTGGGGTGTTTTTAATCCTGGTCTAGGTTGATACACAGTTCCAGATCAGTTTGGCTACATTAAAACTGCAGTTTGTAGAATGCACTGGGACTTTCTGGTGTGAAATCTGTGCCCTACAAATAAGAGGTGGGTGTTTTGTTCCCACACTGCAACCACAGTGTTCAACTGTCTGTAACATTCAGTATTGTTAGAGTAGTTGTTTAATGTTTAAAAAATACAAAGTAAAAAATGTTAACATACTTTCTCAAGCTTACAGCAATTCAGGTTACCTGTGCTTCTGCTTCAGAGTGAGTGTCACTCTAGTTTCCCAGTTTTTATTTTCATTTGTGTTTTGTAATTCCTACTTTTCTGTATTGTACTGGTACAGTTGCCAGCAACAGGTGATCCTTCCAGAATTGATTTTGTGGTTTTTCTAAATTCCTTTGGGAATGGGGGCAGGATTTTAATTTCCTTCCCCTAAAACCCAGTCAAAGTGGAACAATCCTGATTGATTAATTAGCTGCTTCAATTACTTTGTTACGTAGTACATGTGTGTACAGGTGTATCAGCAGTTTGGGGTTTTAAAGGGCTGTTGCCAATATGTATTTGTGTAAGTTTTCAGCCTGAGTTCAACGGGCAAATTGTTCCTGGCTGAGCTCTGTTCTGTGATATGAGGTGTTTGGAGAGCCCGTCGGTAGCAGCAGCAATGAGGTTTGCTGTGAAAGCCTGGGATAACATGACAGTTCATAGAAGCCCTTCTCATTCTGCTTTGGGAGCTTTTCTTCATCTGCTGGCATGGGCACCTGGGCAGCGCAGGTTCTGGGACCCCCGGTACGACCACCCCTGTCTTGTTGCTCAGATCCCTCCTCTCCTCGTTTCACTTCTCTGCAGAGTTTCAAGTGGAGCACAGTAGCAGCAACCTGCTGGTCAGATGCAGTGTTTCTCTCACTGTGCCATCCATATTTCTTTTTAACATTACAGATCCTAAGGGAAGATTAGGCCCCTGACATTTGTGTGTTGCCTCAATTTAATTCTTGAGCCTGGAATCGGTTGTTTAAAATTTCATAGGTTTTATTCCTGTACGTGCTACTGAAAAATTTCCCTTTGTCACTCTTCTGTTTTAGACACTGACTGATGGTCTAATTTTGATTTCTTACGATTTATTGTTTTTTAAATTCAGCGTCCGACCTTCCCTCCGTACGCCATGAGGCGGTACAGGCGTGGCTGGAGACGGTCCCTGGAGGTAGTTTGGTGATGTTCTATGTATTCCAATGCACAATAACCCTGCCCGTCTCTTCTCCATGCCTTCAGCAGCTGAGCTGGTACTTTAACCCTGGAACTTCCGGCCCTGTCGCTACTGCATGAGTGGAGTGGAGGGCGGGAGGAAGGGGAGTGTGCATGCACGCCTTGCTCAGGCAGACCCCTCTCGCATGAGCTCCACACCCGTTGTAACCCTTCTGAGGGCAGGTTATCTTGGGTGCAATAATGCAGAAGGAGCACTTCAATTTGCTTTGTCAACTGAAGATGGGAGCAGTTATTCTTCCCCAAACCCACAGAATAGAAGAACGTGGGGCTTTCTTGCAGGTGAAAGATTAAGTGGTAGAGAGTGCTTAGAGCAATGGCAGTTCTCTGTAGCAACTGCAAACTGTAGTTATCTGGTGAAGGAAATAAGAAAGAATAATAAGATTGAAACTGGGATCTTCAGGAATAGCGATTGTGTTTCCTTTGGCCTGGGGTTTCACGTTATTCAGGAAAGCCTCGTGAATGTTGAAGGATGGTAAAGCTCACCTGCTTTTTTATATGTGGTCCTCTAAGCTCCATTACAAAACTGGTGAGCGTGAAGATTCTGGGATGCCAGTAGGGGGGTACATCTGTGTAAAGCTGTGAAGGTATCTCATTCAGTGGAGTAGTTTGTGCTGGGTAGTTGGTGTACAGCTGAGTTGCTTTGGCACATCAGAATAGCTCGCTTGCCTTTAAAACTTTGCTTCTGCTGCTGCTTTGGCAAGCCAGCAGTGTTTACAAGATGTCTGCACACGAAGCAGTCTGCTGACAGCTGACAGCCTAATACAAACCAAGTGCTGATCCCAGTTTCTGGCTGCTGTAGTGTGTAGCTTCTGAGATACTGTGTGACAGCTTTTGGCCTCTTGCTCCTCACCCTAACTACATATATGTATATGCACAGTATATGTATAATATAACCAGCCACCTGCAAGCTCTCCATGTCCCTCAAAGTGGGATCCACCCTTGCACCAAGTCGCTACTTATCGATGCATCTGTAATCTTCCATTGAGTTTTGTGTACCAACCTGTTTAAAACCTGATTTTTCTCCTCTCTCTCCAACACAATCTGTGTGTGTCGTGTCAGTTCATGGTTTCTGGATCTGAAGACCTACATATACGTAGTGGATTCAGATATTCTTAACATCAGTTATGTTTTTTGCAAGTACTGATTAAGATAACTCACATTTGCTGCTACCATAAAACCATCCCATGACATTATCATTTCCAAAATAACATAAGCTACTGCATACCTAAGCAACAATCAGTCTGGAACATGTTTTAGTTTTGTTCAGTAGATTTGTAAATGCCCCTGTGGGAAGTCCAGCCTTTGCCATATGATTTAGTTTTCTGTACTCGATGTCAGTATGGGTCTGGATTTTATCATCCTATCCATAAGGGAATAGGCCAGTACGTTATCACACATGAGTGGAAATGCCTTTTCACAGTAGCTGACAGAAAATAAAATAGCCCATATGTTTATCTATGTTAATAATCCTATAGAACATGGAAAAAGGGAAATTCTCGGGTTGAAGGAAGAAGACAAAACACCCACTGAAGGCTGTGTTTTGAAATAAGCAAAAACCTATATTAGAGAAAGAGGAGAGGCTGCAAGACCTCAATTTTAGGGAGGGTTAGTTTGTTTTCGAGATTGTCTTAATTAGCATTGCTGTCATATAAATGGTTCCAAGAGCCACATCCTCACTAGTAAACAAAGAGGACCAGGACCTATACCCTGACTCAGGAGGAACCTGGCACACCGTGGTTCTCTCCTGCATGGCTTAACTTCTTTGCCATCCAAGATCAGGGGCTGTGTTCAGACTGCCTGTGGAAACAGCCTGGGCCCTTCCCAGGGAACTGACTGCTGGGAGTTGTGCCTGGAGCCCTCCTCAGGATGACAGTGTGACACTGTGTGCTTTCAGGTCTAGAGACCTGCACCACTTAGTTTACTGGTGTAGGTGCAACCAAGAAGGTTCTAAATATATAACTTATCGTTGTTATAGAACCATATCCTGTGTGTATAATTAGCAGATGTGCATGGTAACACATGCTGACTGTGTACACATTTGCAAGAGGATGTACAACAGGGTTAAATGTTGTTGAACATGAGTTGATAATAACTCACTTCACACTTTTAAAACTGTAGTTGACCAATGCTACTGTAGAAAAAAAAAACCGGGAAGTGCTCACTTTTAATATTTAAATTATGTTTTATGAAAATGTTTAACAAAAGAAAAAAAGTAAATCATCCATAGCACTAGATATGGGATAATGTGTCATAAGGTTTAAGGGGTTGTTTTAAAAAGTATCATTTAATAATGAAATTAGACCCCAGACTTTGATCTTGTCTCTCCCCCTGTAATTAAATCTTGTCACAAGTAGTAATGTCAGATAACATAATTTTCAGAGTTGCAAATTCAAGAATCTTTTCTTTATTTTGACCCAAATTATGATCTGTAAAAGAAAAAAAGTTTTGAAAATGTAATTTAAACTATTTAAAAGTATTTCAATTAATGATCTGTGACAGCAAAAAAACTTTTTATATATCATTTTAATTACTTTAAACTATCTCAATTTGTGCCCTATGTACTTGTATAGCATATGAATTTTCTTAGACTTTATTACCAAAGACTGCAGTAGCTGAACAGTATTAAACAGTTTTCAAATGTAATAATGGTCAATCCCAGAGCTAGACTCTGTCTCTGACTTACACTCTCAAAACCTGTTTCAAGATGAACAGTCATGGTACATGGTAAGATTTCAGTTTTGACTTAATGTACGTATTCTATCAAGTGGTGGTGACTGTTCTGGTGTGGTAAAGGAAAAAAACAATCTTCCTGGAAGAACAGTAAACTTTATCCTGGTTTGATGTCCTCCCAGTCCCCTTCTTGTTTAATTTTTCACAAGGCCTGTTGCTCAGAAAAGCCTTGGCTGCTTTCACTGCAAATGCCTCGGAGACTCCCCAGGGCAGGCGTTCCTTGATTAATTGGAGTCTGGAAGTGTCGTTCCACCATAGATGTCCTTCCAGGTGACACATTTTGGGATTCCTTGTTTTGGCAGTAATTAATAAGCATCTCGACTATAAACTGTTGGTACAGTTCAATGTAGAACCTTTTCACTGTCTAGTGTTTGTCTTCTTTTCTTTTTTTCTCAATATTTGAATATATTCTAGCTCCGTGTGAGGATAATGATGTGGAGGATGAGCTGGGCACAGAGCCTGCAGACACAGAAGGGCAGGCAGGTGAAGAGGGAGACACGGGTGCAGAGCTGGATGATGGTAGGGTACCGTGTGCAGCCTTTAAACCTGTTGTGTGAACACAGTTGTACTGGCAGAAAATACTTTGTGTGAAGCTACTTAAACATGGTATTATTTTTAGTGGTGTGGGAGTTGGTTTTGAATAGTCAAGAGGGAGCCAGGAGTGAGTGACAAGAAGAAAGACAAGAACCTCAATGCCATGGATTTTGTAATGAATTTCTCATGTCTTCTCACCGTAACTAAAGTGTCTTGTGTCCATATTCTGTGCTGATACTGATGAATAACAGAAATAGAAGTAAATTTGGGAAAGTTCTACAATATTATGCCAGAATCCTTCCCTTGCTGTTGTAAAATTAACTGCATATGCCAGAAAACATAAAAAAATTTCAAGAAAACAGATAAGGCAGGACTTCAGTTACTGATTTAGCTATTTGTACTAACAGTGCAATCATTAACTGCTTACATTGACTGCCTAAATGACTAATTATCACACCAGAAAAGGAGTGAAACATTTAGGGGCTCAGGTTATGAAAGTGATTGGCACCTTGTGAATAAAAAGAAAGTATTGTGTCCTGATGGATTTGTATTCGAATTCTCTTGTTGTGTTTTTTTTTTTTCCCCTGCCCCACCCACGACCAGATGACATCGCATCTGATGCAGAAGCGGAGTTTCGCTTACACCGGGGTGGTGTAGAACAGGCAGAACTAAAAGTCTCTGAAGATGAAGAAGATGAAGAAGAAGCAGAAGGTGCTTCTTCCAGTGTGGCAGAAGGTAGTTGCTTTCTCATCAGTGTTTCAGTGATTTTGATTGCGTTAGAGATAGTCTGTACATTTACGGGATTTGAGAGAAGAGAGTCTCTTGGGTTTGAACCATCTTGCTCCTCTCAGTGGCAAGGCATGTGCTTGCATTGACATTTTGAGATGAATGTTCTGAATCCATTAATCACAGCTTCCTAAATGTGAGAACCCCTCTAACTGCTTTTTCTTGTAAAAATTTTTACATTAAAAAGCTTGTACCATTTTGAATATTTAAAAGTTTTTGTCTATGTTCCAGATGTCCAATCTAGAATTTGTAATAAGCTGAGAAATTTGTCTGTACTTGCTGTGTGTAACATAAAAAAAATTAGAATATTAATGGTCTCTTGTGTTTTTGGAACATTTTTGCTTTCCCTAGATCCATGCAAACCATCCATCCCTATCCAGGCATCTAGTGACAGTGTTCTTCCTCTGTCTCCAGCTGCTAGTCCCAAAGCAAAACAAGCAGAGGTAAGAAAGAGAATCTTTGACATTTTCCACTTACCACCTGTAGTTCAATAAAACAGTTTGTTGGATAAACTAATGAGGGCTGACAGCAGTGGGCTTTTCTCCTTTCCTGTCTCTAAAATTTACATTGATCTTGAAATCTGACTTTATTTATACTCAAAATATAAAGTACTATCTTTTTTACCTATCTTTGGAGTGTAGTGGCTCTGTCACAAAAGTTCCCATCACAAAGCCCAAAAATAATTATCCAGGATATTTTAATTTCAGTGCCCAGTTAACAAGAGATATACATGATGAATGAGGGGAGCCATAACTAACGTGTTTCCTATTTATCCTGGTCTGGCTGTCTTTTATGTACCAAAAGCAGATTTAAAATTATAGTAGCAACCAAAGCAGTACTTCTCTATTCCAGAATTCAGCCTAGTTCAGCTTAAGGAATTGAGGCATGTCACATGTTGTACTTCATGTTGTCAGCCCTGGGAGGCAGCTTGGAAGTGTACTGGGGTGTTTGTGGCTGCTGGTGTCTAAGAGCTGAAAGTACATGACCCTTAAAATGTTCAATTCAAATTTTTCCCTTCCAAGTGCCTGTTTTTAAGGAATTATTAAAAGATGATACTTTATCCTAGAGAGTTTTGACATAAACCAGTTTACTTTTACCATGGACAGATTAAGGGCTAAGTCTGATTCGCTGACAGCAATTGCTGACAACATTGACTTTCTGCTAAATTCAGTTTGTTTTTTTGAGGGCCATCTAATATTTCTGTTAGACATAGTTAGTGTTTATATCAGTACAATGCCTGAATGCAGTTCTCAAGACCTGTGTGTTTAATAGGTAGGTTCATGCTCCAGGGGTCACGTGTCTGCATTCAAAAGAAAGCTGGAGCAAAAGATGCCATTGGAAAGAATAACACCAGATCTCAGTCCGAGGAGTCTCCTGCCAAAGGGTTAAATTGTAGAAGAACAAACTGTGCTCTTGAGTAATATGGGTGTAGGAGGTGAAACCCAAAATTTCTCAGACTATTAAGGGGCAAGTGAACTGCAGCCTAATTTACTCTCAAAAGAGAGAAAGCGTCCCTTGCTTTAAGAAAGCATGGCAGCAGACACTAGTCAGCAGAAAAGTACAGATGAGACCTGGAGAGACTTGCTTCAAATCCGTCTGAGATAAGGGACCACCACAATACACAGAGCTGGAGATTTGAAGGGAGAGATAATATTAATATTTTCCTCTTTCATTTTTTGTAGGATGTACGAGATCCCCTGGCTGAAGTACGCCGTGCAATAAAATCCCCAGAGGCACGCTTTTTTCCTGAGCCTTTCGTTCTTGAGGAAGGACCAAAGGATGAAATTCCCAAAGAAAGGAGAGTTAAGAGCCCTTTGGTGCCACTATCTCCAGTGTTATCCCAGCCGGTTGCATCACCAGAAGCCATTGCACCTACGTCACTAGCAGAGTCTCAGCCAGCAGCACCAACATTGGCTTCATCCCCAAAATCTACTCAAATGCCTATCTGTTCCCAGCCTTTGCCTTCTGCTGAAACATCCATTCCATCCCCAGTGGAGCCTCCAGTATGTTTCCAACCTGTCCCAGCCTTAACATCTACTCCTTTAGCCAAGCTGGCCCTTAGGGGCCAGGATGGTGAGGTGGAAAAACTGGGGAGCCCTACTACTGCAGAAGAAGCCCTGAAACGGAGTAGCCTTGTGGAAGAGTTCTGGATGAAGAGTGCTGAAATCCGGAGGAGCTTAGGGCTCACCCCAGTAGAGAGAAACAAACGCCCAGAGACGAACTTCACTGTGTCTGCTCTTGAGACAACTCCTCTGAAGAGTTTTAATAGCAAGAATATTTCAGGGGATGAAAGGATCCATCCTGTGAAACCCCAACCTGCCCCAAGAAGGCAGGGACTGTCCAGGTTAGAAAATGAGCAGATTTCTCTGCTCACTCCAAAGTCTCCATCAGAAAAAGAGCTAAAGATTTCCGGTGAAGTACGGGGAGATGTATCCAGCAGTTCTGGACTTGGCCTTCAGGAGAGCTCATCCAACATGAGAACTATGGCGAGCCAGAGCTTCAACACCTCTGACTCTACCATGCTCACTCCCCCATCGAGTCCGCCTCCACCACCTCCTCAGGATGAGGAACCAGCCACTTTGCGCAGAAAGAGATACCAGGCGCTCTGGCAGAACGAGGTTGAAGCCAGGTCACCTCCAACACCAGCGTCAACACCTCCTGTTCTCCGACACCAGGAGCCAGCCCCTGCTGCCAAGGAGACAACCCCGGCCAAGAGAGAAGACGTGCGCAAGTCTTTTGCAGAAAGTGTGGACGAGATTCCGTTTGCTGATGATGTAGAAGACACATATGATGACAGGACAGAGGACTCAAGCCTTCACGAGAAGTTCTTTACCCCTCCTACCAGTAGGCCAAGGCCAGAGAAACCACTTGTTTTGCCCTTGGTCAAAGAAAATGGTGGTCCACCCTCAGTGGAAGGAGGGGTTAATCAAAAGAAGAGACTGTTCCCTGAGATTTCTGTGGAGGCCAAGGAGCTTGCTGAAGAAAGAATGAGAGCCAGAGAGAAGTCTGTCAAGAGCCAGGCACTACGTGATGCCATGGCTAAGCAGTTGTGCAAGATGAAAGATATGGAGATGGCTGCAGCTGCTGCTACTGCGGCCACAAGGGCGCGAAAGGCATCTTCGATGCCCTTGAAGACCAAAGAACTGTTTTATGAGTCTCCAAAGCATTTGGCCTTGAAATTAGCAGAGGGATCCACACGAAAGCATAATTCTGCTAGTGAGAAGTTCTCCACTCCTCCTGCTGATATGGCTGGACCTGAAGGGTCTGTCAGCTCTTCAGAAGGCTCCAGTGGGAAGAGTAAGAAAAGAAGTTCTCTTTTCTCCCCTCGTAAGAACAAAAAGGAGAAGAAATCCAAGAATGATAGCAGGCTTTCCGACAAATCTAGTGGTGGGACAGAGGAAGCAACAAAGCCCAGGTCGTTATGGAAGTCTGTTTTCTCTGGGTATAAGAAAGACAAGAAGAAAAAGACCGATGACAAATCCTGCCCGAGTACTCCCTCAAGTAGTGCCACTGTGGATTCTGGCAAGCGCAAAGCATCTCCATTGATTACAGCTGCAGGTATAACAGATATGTGCCTCTGCACCATGTAGTTTTCCTACTCCTTGGTATCCTTGAAAGTAGGTTTGGCTTGCTTTGTCATTCAGCTACTGTGCTGATAATGCTGCTCCCCAGTGTCAGATGGGCAGATTCAGGTAAGTGCTGGGGACTAGACTTGTATGTTTGCATATTGACAGAATTAGTTGATATCCACTGGAAAAAATGGATCCTTAACTAAAAGTTTCACTCTCAACATGGACAAAGCAAATCTGTTTTCTGCCTTAAATGGATTTGAGAAATAAGCACTATTAGTTGGAATTTGTGACATTTCTTCCCTGTTTTAATTCTGATCCTCATCTTTTCTTGAGTGGTCCATCCTCTCTCTCTCTCTCTCTCTCTCTCTCTCTCTCTCTCTCTTTCTACCTGGCACCATGGAAGCTGAAGACTGCAGAGATGCAGTTATTCCTGTGTTCTCAGTGATCTGGCAATTGTCTGATCTATGAAGTTGGGATTTTGCAGCCTCATGTAAATCTGTCACATGCCCACCAGTTGCAGGCAGAGATGTTTAATGGCAATGTGGGATACAGTAAATAAGTTAGCCATAAATGTGATTGAAAACATTCCTCTGGCCTTGGACAAAGACTCAAAATAGTGCTGGCTGCTGTCATCCAAGTGCTGTATCTAAGAGCATTAATACAGTACAAAGGGAGAATCATGATCATTATTTCTAACAACATTTGAGGAAAGTGATGCTCTTCTAGGTCAAAGCTCAGAGATGCTGATCATTTTGTGGAGTGGTGCTGCTCTGGTCACTGAATCCCAGGTGAAACAACTGAGACTGACATGAAAGGATTAAGTATTTTTGATGCTCAGTCAAACAACTTAAAACTGAGTTCTAGAATGTTTACAGAAAGGGTAGTTACCTCTCCTTTAACTTCCCTTTTTATTCCCGGCTTCTCAGATTTACAGCTCCGTCAACACCTGAGTTTCTCAGAGGACTCTGACCTGTCCAGTGATGATGTTCTGGAACGCTCCTCCCAGAAATCCAAACGAGAGGTAGGTAGATGGGAAATGCATCTCGTGTCCTGCATATCACAGACTCAGAGAATCACATCAGAAACTTGGATGATTAATGTTGTTGTTTTTACTGTTTCTCCCAGACTTTTCCTGTAAGCTGGCTGACTGTTCTGCCTAAAATAAGTTGGTTTCACTTGGTTTCACAATTGCAAGCTACTCTCCCCTGTTATCATATGAAGGATCCATTGTCTCACTGTGGCATTACTTTACAATGAATATTACAGTCAGAAGAGTGAATTTTGTCCCTGTTGTGAACATCTCCACAATCTAGAGAAAACAGATTTACTGTCAGAAGAGTAAATTTCCCTGACTGTAATATTACTGCAAAAACATAATGATGAGATAGTTCTCACTTTTTCTGAGAGTCTGATTTTAGGATAGTGGCCCAGAGGACCCAGAGCAGGATGGAGTACTCAAGCTGGGGTCTTGTGAGGGCAGAGTAGAGGGTCAGAATCACCTCTGTCAACTTGCTGGTCACGGCTCTCTTGATGCAACCCAGGATACTGTTGGCTTTCTGGGCTGCAGGTGCATGGTGCTGGATCATGTTGTGACCAGCACCCCCAAGTCCTCCTCAGGGCTGCTCTCAATCCATTCTCAGCCCACCACAGAGGGCCACCACATTGGTCAGGCACAATTTGCCATTAGTGAAGCAACAGTCCTCAATCACCTCCTTTTTTCCCATGTGCCTTAGCATAGTTTCCAGGAGGATCTTGCTGGGCACTGAGAGGTGACTGACTGGGCTGTAGTACCCCAGGTGTTTCTTTTTCCCCTTTTTAAAAATGGGGATTATGTTTCCCTTTTTCCAGTCAGTGGGAACTTCACCAGACTGCCACAGCTTCTCAAATATGATGGATAGTGGCTTAGGCTCTTCCTCTGCCAGGTCCTTCAGAACCCATGGTCCCATGGACTTGTGTACCTTCAGGTTCCTTAGGTGGTCTCAGACCTGACCTTCTCCTGCCTCGGGCATTTTTTCATTCTCCCAATCCATGCCTTTCCCTTCTGTAACTGGGATGGTGTGGCTGGAGCACTTGCTGGTGAAGATCAAGGCAAAAAAGCTATTGATTACTTCAACCTTTTCCATATCTTGGATAACCAGATCTTCAGTTTCCTTCCAGAGAGGGCCCATGTTTTCCCTTTTATCCCTGATGTACCTGTAGAAGCTTTCCTATTGCCTTTGATGTCCCTTGCCAGATTTAATTCTGTCAGGGCCTTAGCTCTCCTAACCTGATCCCTGGCTGCTTGGAGAATTTCTCTATATTCCTCCCAGGCTACCTTTCCTTGCTTCCACTCTCTGTACACTTCCTTTTTGTTTCTAGAATTTGTCCAGAAGCTCCTTGTTCATCCATGCAGACCTCCCAGCATTTTTGCTTGACTTCCTTTTTGTTGGGATGCATTGCTCCTGAGCTTGGAGGAGGTGATCCTTGAATATTAACCACTTTTCTTGGGCCCCTTCCTCCCTCCAGGGCTTTATCCCATGGCACTCTACTAAGCATATCCCTGAAGAAGCCTAAGTCTGCTCTCCTGAAGTCCAGGGTAGTGAGCTTTCTGTACACCCTCCTCACCGGCCTAAGGATCTAGTATAAGGATTTGGTTTATTTGCACATACTTATATGTGGAAAATAAATGATGAGAGCAAAGTTCCGAAGTTAGTTGCTTTTAAACTATTTAATTCAATTTTAGAATGGCACTATTAATGCAAAAACAGGGGAAAAATTTAAGGAACTGCTTGATCATAGTAATGAAGAGCCCTGCTTTCATTCCTGAGAACCTCTAAGCTCCGCTAGACAGAATTGACAAGGTTTGGAGGAATAAGTAGAGATTTTATTGGCCCCATCAAACACTAAAGCTTTTCTGATACTGAAGAGTGAAAGCTGTGTTCCCACAGTCCCTCCCTGGTGGTGCCTGGCACACATGTTAGAAAAGCTCAAGAAGAAGAGAGCATCTGAGAGGGTAATGTCACAGACACAGTACTCTGTGCCTTCCTGTCTCAAACCTGTCCTCCAGTGTGCACAAATCAGTCTCAGATGCCAGGCTCTAGTTGATACTTGGCTCAGATGGCAAAGGTGTGGAAATACTGCAAATTAAAGTGTCATATGAAATGCTTCTTATGTATATGTAGTAAAATGAAATAGAATAACTAATGAATTTAAAGCTGGTGGAAGGAATTGATGAACTAAATAGGAATTTTCTGTATTTACTTATCTCTCTTTTAATCTTTTTCCCTAGTTGGTCTAGATCTCTTCTGAGAGGAAGATTATTTTGTTTTTATTTTATTCCCTTTTTTCTCTCCCCCTTCCATTCCTCCTTGCATGCCCTCAAGGCGTTTCATGAGAAATTCTGCATTTTCCCAGAGATGCAGAAGAACGAGGTACCTGGGACCAGCAGAGGACAGATACCCAATACCTGGGGTTCAGATAAGAGTTACGGAGTCACTGCTCTGTCTTGTGAGCTCCTTTGGAAGGAGCCAAGGCTGCAGTAAGGTCCAGCCTTGTTTTCAGACTTTGATGTACCTTAATGGTCACTTTTTTTATCTACGCTGAGCTACTTCGATTTCAAATGACTTTTGCAGAAAAAATATCACTAAGCACTGGAGAGGATGATAAGTGACAGTGGCAGATGCCCTGATTCCTAATACCAGAATTGTCTTGCAAGCTCTGCCAAGGGTACGGTGGTGGTGCCTCCTTCTCTCTCATTTGCTGTTGCTGAAGTTACGTTAGGAATTTGTTTGCTCAGCATCTGCCTGTTTTCTGAAGAACAGTTTTGAGAATGCATTTATCTAGAGGGTACAGATCTGAGAACTCCCCTTGCCTGGTTTCATTGCATCCTATCCAAGGATGTAGAACATATGTGCAAACACTGGAATGCCTTGCTGTCAAAAGAAATGTAACCAAACTTCGAGACTGACAAAGCTGGGTTTGTACTGATTTGGGGAAAGGGTGATATTTTTTAAGTCACAAACTGCATGTTACTTATTATGGGTAAGAACTGACTTTACTGTGTGTGCTACATAACTTTTATGTGAACCCCCTCCTCTGAACTGGAATTCTGTTTGTGCTGCTTTTTTGATAATTGTAGTGACCTTTGCTTCCCAGACAGCCTGCTCTGTTTAGCCTGTTCTTTGTGATCAGAAGTGAATTAATTCAGTGTTGTTCAATGTAGTGGCTTTCAAGAGAAGCATCTTGCAAAGAATTCCTAATGTAAATGCCCTCTGGGTCTCGTGTTTGTAGGTGTGTGTCACTGTGTTTGTCATTGTTCCCATACAGTTGTGGTGTTGTGGTCAGACGTGTGTTTTACTGCCACAGGTAGCTTGCTTTTTACTGGAGTTTGCAAACGTGCTGGTGTTGTTCTCTGGCTTTTCATTTGTGATTGGTTTTAGTTAATTCAATGTGAAAGTGCAAAATGCTGCCTGTTCACCCCGAGTGGCACAATGCCTTCTGTACTTCATGGCATGAAGGGAAAGTCACCTCTCTTCTAAATGCTAAGAACTTTACTTGCCTTATATTTGGGTGCAGAAAGTAGTGATTTCCCCTTCCTTTTCCCCTTCCTTTTCCCCTTCCTTTTCCCCTTCCTTTTCCCCTTCCTTTTCCCCTTCCTTTTCCCCTTCCTTTTCCCCTTCCTTTTCCCCTTCCTTTTCCCCTTCCTTTTCCCCTTCCTTTTCCCCTTCCTTTTCCCCTTCCTTTTCCTCTTCCTTTTCCCCTTCCTTTTCCCTCAATTTTAGCTCCTCAGGATCTTTGGAGGCCCTCCTTTTAGACAAGGAGATTCCATTACTGCAGGACACATAATGCACTCTGAGTCCATCTGCAGTTTCTTAGCTCACAAAGCAATGAGGAAGATTTAATATGTTAGTTAAATGCAAATTGTATTTTCTATGAAATAGAGATAATTTAAAACCATGGAATAAACACAACTCCTAGGAGAGACTGTAAATCAAATTTTAAATGGAGAATTGTGTGACAGAGTAATACACGTTTGGCTGAGCCAGTTCAGACCAAGCATAAGTCATTATTTTAAATCCTAAGCCAAAATTTTGTGCCTATACTTGCTCAGTGAACATTAAAACTGCAGGTAGATAAAGACCAAATAATTCTCTAGAAAAAGGTATTTCCAGGTTGACTGTATCTTTAAAGAGGCTGCCAAAACTAGTTGCTTTCAGGAGAGTGCTAGAAACTTGATTTTGTGGGCAGAAGTTCCATTGTGCTTCGTCAGTCTGGGTCACATTCAGCATTTGCATAAATTTGTTTCATTGAAAAACCACTTTGTTTTATTACTGTGCATCTGTTTTCAATGTTGAACTGATTTTGCTTCATTTTTGTACGTTTGTTTTTTTTTTTTCCTTTACCATTCCCCCTTTAAAGTCGATCTATGTACCACACGCCTTGGCATTCAAGAGATCATACTCGTCAAAGGTAGTGTCTCCATTCCCACTAGTTGGCCATTGTTGCATTGCATGTCCCTGTATTAACCCATTGGATCCATAGCTCCCCACCACATGTGCACTAACACCACCGACATTGACTGTGCATGCCTGAGATGGTGGCAGACATGGGCAGCAAATTCTCTGTAGAAGTTGTCTACCAAAAATGCATTAAGCTCCAAAATGTCTGTCTGGTCAGAATGCATGTGTTTATCAGTGCACCACTGTACAGTGATGTGGATGATCTGTGAGCTTCAGGGCAAATTGGTTCTCAAGGCAGTTAAATACGTTTGCATATTCTTTTTTTTTTTTTTGAATATTTAGAATGTAAGTTCAAGTGAATCATCACACTTTAATCAGCATCCTTCAAAATTGCTGAGTTCACTCAATCTGAGTGAAACTCTGTATCAAGCTAAAATCAAGGCAGAAGTTGCTGCATTCTGAAATTCTTACTGTCCTGTCTTCACAGTCACAACAGTGTTACATGGAGTAGGAAAGTCACACCCTCTGTCATTTTACCTTCTGATTTGGGTATCATTGTGGATTTCGTGTTTTAAAAGAAAGGAAGAGTAAAGTGTTGGCTTCTTGAAGCTTTAACAGTGGTGCTTTCCAACGACCTACCTGAGGGATTTTTAATTGAGCTGTGATCCTACCTTGAATTCTATTCACTAAGAACAATAAACCAGAGGTAGACTGACCATTGTAGCAGTACAATAACCAGATAAAGCAAATTTCAGGGTGGTCTGACTTAACATTCTGTTCCTAAAGTTGACAGTCCATGGAGGAGATCTCTTTCCAGAAGTGGAATACATCTGTTTACAGCAGTCCCTTAAAGCCTACATACATATACATGAGAAAACAGTCCTTTTCTTCACTGTAGTTCGCTTAATGCAGTTGTGAATTTTTTTTTGACGCTCTTAAAACTCAATGAAACTCTGTAAGCCCTCCTAGACTACAACACATCCAACTAGTCTATCTGAAAAGATACTAAACCCAATTTCAGTAATGTTAAAAAGACTTATTTTTAAACTAGTTTCACTGACAGAAAAGAAAAGGAGGAAAACCTTTCTATTTTTACAAAAATAGCTTTTCTCCTTTTGAATGGCTTCTGGCGGTGTCACATTCTAATTTTAGTTTAAGGGTTGTTTCCTATCTTGTATACCAGCAAGTTTTGTGGGGTTGTTCTTGATTTCCCATCTCACACCGGAATGTCAATTTGCTTTCAAATGTCTTTTTGCCTTCTTGAATCACTGAAAAGCTGCACAAATTTACAGAGGGTGTCATTACCAGTATAAATTCCAACTATGGAAGTTCTTGCTCCAGAACATAATAGGGAGAAGGGAATTCCAATACAGCTACACTAGTCGATAATAATTTCTTCACTTACACTGCTGTAACTGTTCATGTAGACAAGCATTTACCTTCATTTAGAACAAAATCAAAATGACCCCTCTACACAGTACTCATTGATTTAACTGAATCCATTTTGGCTAAATATTGAGAAATAGAATAAAAATTGATTTTATCTTTGGAGAGAGGTTTCATGTCGTAGTGGAAGGCTGGGGTGGGATGTTATATAAAAGCACAGCTTTGCAGTTGGCTTATATGCTTCTTCACTCCTGATTTGATCCTGAAATTATTGCTCACTGCACTGTGAACACCTTTGCCTACCGAAGCTTGACTTTTGACACAGCCATGGCAAAGACAGAACACCTCCCTTCTGAGATTTTTGGAAGAGAAAATGGTCACCCCTGCCCCCGTACCTCTGAACATGTGAATAAGATGTGCTCCTGTTTTTCCTTCCTTCAGAGGGCCTACACAGAAGAGGAGCTGAACGCCAAGCTGACCCGGCGGGTGCAGAAAGCTGCCCGTAGACAAGCCAAGCAAGAGGAGCTAAAGAGGTTACACAGAGCTCAGGTAGCGTCTCACAGTCACAGTCCTCTTGTCCTCTCTGTGTGAGAGCACCATGATCCTGACATTCCTCTGAGTGTGTCAGAAGAGAAGCCAGAGACAGAACTTTCCTCTGTTTCTGGATGAGTGTCCCTGCTCCTGCTCCCTCTTTCAAATTTGGTATCATGCCACTGAGCAGTGGCACGAAACCTATCATGATGATTTTACATTTAGAAAAATAATGCCCAAAACACCTCTTTATCTGGAGATGAGTGAAGCATCATGCACTGAATGGAACAGTGATACTCAGATAATACCTGATGGAGCTGCACCTATCATTGCTTTGCTGGATTATGCTGGTGGATGAAGTGTTACCAAATTAACATTTAATTACCACAGAATCTGCTAGAAAACTATCGACATCATCTGTAAGTGATGGGATTTGTTAAAATCTCAAGTTAGGGGCTCAGCTGACTGAATAGAATCACCTTTCAGTTCAGTGTTTATGAAGGTGATAGGAGTTGTAGCAAATAAGTGAATATCAAGGTGTTTTAAAATTTAAGGGATCAGGTGCAATGGAGTGGGGAGGATTTGTGATGCTTTTGAAGCAGTGTATTGTTGAATACAAATACTTGTTTCTGGGAAGGCAAATTTGACTGAAGTCACTCAGTGCTGGATGTGTGCTGCAGATATAGCAGAATTGCTTTTGGTGAAGTTCTGCTCCATTCTTCTCTGAACAGATTATCCAGCGACAGCTTGAACAAGTGGAAGAGAAGCAGAGGCAACTTGAGGAGAGGGGAGTTGCTGTGGAGAAGGCCCTTCGAGGAGAAGCAGGTATCCATCCCAGCTTGGTTTGTTTTTCATGTTTTCTTATCAAGTGCTTGTGCAGTAGTCCATAGCTGTTTGGATTTTAGAGACAAATGGACCTTTATAGCCTAGAGATAGAGTCCAATGTGAATCCATTCTCCTTTTTCTGCTATCTTTCTGAGGCCTTGTTTTTCCTGTGTTTCTTCTAATTCTGGAACTTCCCTATTGGCAGAGACTTAGTTCACTTACCTTTGCCTGAGGCTTAGGAGGTAATGCTCCAGCTACTAATAATGGCTGTCTGACTGTTTCTGCATATTACTGGGTACTACAGCTAGAAAATTGCAGGGGTTTCCTACCTGCCATTCACACAAAGTTGTCACAGTAAGAGAACCTTGTTTGTATGTTAAGGAAATAATTGTGAAACTGTGTGTGCTTTCTCTATTTTGTTGGATTATCAAGGCAGTGTCCTTACAAGGGACCATCACAGAACATCTTCCTCACTGCACAGCCCAGCACACTGGCTACTTCTGACAAAGTTGTGCAGAGCAGAAATGCACACGTGTACTGAAAGGTATCCATGTCAAGCTGTTCAAGAAAGATTATGTGTACTTGAAATTAAATTGAATGAGTATCATCTGATCTGGCAAGCATATGAGTGGAGGAGTACCTGGTTCAGATAATGCTGATAGTAGTATAATGATTTGGAAAAAAAAATCCTCAATTGCAAGGAGTCAAATATCCAACAGGCAAATGCAGTGTGTGTACACCTGACAGGCCCAGGATTATGTACCTGACTACAAGAGTCAGAGTTCAGAAATGGCAGTAGTGGAACAGGTGTTTGGAAAATGTTTGCTTGTTGCTTGGATTGAAGAGCCACCTCTATGTCTGTGAAGATGGAATGTGATTAAGCAGTGAAGGTTCACCAGAGAGAAAGTCTGTTGGGACTTCCCATCAGTTACTACTCGGACAGAATTAGGTATGTCTGATGCTCCATAAGGGTGTGCCAAAGCAGCAGGACTGAGTGGTCACCAAAGCAAATAGTGTGAAGAACAGTCTTGAGGACTTCAATGGTTTTATGATCAGAATGTCTTTTTCATTTGTGGGTTCAGAAAAATAGCCTTGTGCAAATATTCTGTCTTTGCGGTGGTGCCTCCTTCCTTATGCTGTGTGTTCCTGTGTAGCCCTACTCTGTTCTCTGGCCTGCCAGTCACTGCCCTTACTAAACCCACCTCCATTATATCTAATGGTTCTTTCCATTTTTCTTCTTTTCACCTGGAAGTCCATCTTTCATGTCAGGCATGCCAGCACAAGTCACAGATCTTAGTAGCTGAGAAAACATTATTCGTGGTAGAGTGCTCTCTCATTGCAAAATGACAGAATGACTAAAAAATGTTCAGAGAGGGCAGAATATGACCAAAAGTAAGAATTAGTATTTTGTATGGGAGGCTGCAGAATTAAACCTTTGTCTAACTAACTTCTCGCTCTCAGCTCTCCTAAATGGAAGCAGTTTTAGATGAGCTTGTGTATTTGTGAATTTTCAAGCAGAATTGTGAAATTGTAGGTCATGTTTTGCAAAATTGAAATCTCTTTTCTTCAGGAATTCTCTAGGGCGTGCTTTGCTCTTGCAACATGTTTCTGCCAACAGGTCCTACATTATGTTTACAGAAGCTTAGCTCTGACATAAAGAATTCCCCATCCTCAATTCTTTCACTTTTTTCAGGTGATTAACAGGGAACACATTCTGTTGGGGGAAAAACATGGCATGTTCTAACCTGTGTTGCCTGAAACACATTATGAATAATTTCATGCTTCACCTCTTTAGCTACTCTTGCATGGCCATAGAATCATTTAGGTTGGAAAAGACCTCTAAGATTAGGAGTCCAACCATTAACCCAGCACTGCCAAGCCCACCACTGAACCAGGTCCCCAAGTGCCACATCCACACATCTTTTAAATACCTCCAGGGATGGTGACTCAACCACTTCCCTGAGCAGCCTCTTCTAGTGCTTTACAACCCTTTCCATGAGGAAATTTTCCCTGCTGTCCCATCTAAACTTCCCCTGGCACAACTTGAGGCCATTTCCTCTTGTTCTCTTGCTTGTTACTTGGGATAAGAGATCAACCCCCACCTGTCTACAACATCCTTTCAGGTAGTTGTAGAGAGCCTCCTTTTTCCAGACATTTTACATATGTTTGCAGTAGAATAACAAAAGGTCTATGGCATCACATTTCCTAAATACAGTAAATTTCTGCCTCCAATATCCATTAATTATTCAAGAGAGTAATATAATTTTCTTGTTATCTGCACTGTGCAAGTCACTGACCTAACATTCAGCCAGAACCATCGTGTAAAGATGTGGAGTCATGGCCTTGTCTCTGATCAGTCCCTCCCATAATGAAACCATGAAAACAGAAGTTTGAAAAGGGAAAGACAGTGTATAAAGTGGTGTTGCAGTGCAGGATTGAAGTAATGACTCTTCCATACACAGCAACCAGTATTAATTGGTTCTAGGAGAACATACTGGGCTCTGTAGGGAAAGAACGAGTCACTCACTGACAAGCATTTAAATATGGAGTTTTAGATAGCAGTGGTTTCCCACTACTTTAAAATTCTGACAGAAGGAACAGAATTCTGTAACTTGTAATGATTCTTTTATTTTTGTATTATAGAAGAAGATAGAGAAGACCATCTGAACTCATTCTCTTATCATCTTTTAGTATGTTGACTTTTAGTCATCTTTCCTGTCTGCAAAGAATTTCAAATTTTTCTCCTGTAGAGGTCTTCTGTTAACTTACCTCAGATCTGGACCACTTTCCATTTTTATAAAAAAGTATTTTTCAGTCAGACTGGGAAGAAAACAAACTCTTAAGTAAAAATGTCTTTACTTGGAATAATTTTGCTTCTATTTTCCATCAATTTTCCGTCATCCTTAATATGTTATTGTCAAGTGACTTATGCTGAGCAGACTGTCAATAAATTCTTCTCGGCTATGCCCTGCTGTCCTGAGAGGTTACAATTAGTTTAGGGAATAGGTACTGACAGCTCAGTATTCTTTCCAGGAATTTCACCCATTTTCTAATAGTTGTCAAGTTGGAATATTTATAGGATGAGACTTCCTCCTCAACTAATCAAACTCAGAAACATTTTGGAGGTCACCATCAACTTTAATTTTTGACAAAATAATTGCACCTTCTGGCTACCTCATTGTCTTTTCCTGTTTTAAATTAGCTCAGCCTCAGGCAAGGCACAGTTGGTCTTCTATTCTTTTAAAAACTGGATGCTCAATTGAGCATTTAGTTTCTGATTCTGGAAATGATCTCACACCCTATAATTATTTAATTGCCTTAATGTGTTCTCTGTGATTATCTTTGAAAATCTCAGCCTTTGATAGTTGCCTTCGTAGCAAGAATGAATGATTTGGAATGTAAGCTCTATTTTGAGTGACAATGTAAGCTCTATTTCAGGTGGCAAGTTTGTCATATTCAGGTGGTCTAAGCTTTTGTTATCCCTTTTTTTCCTACCCCACCCCTCCCTTCCTCCTGCATCATGATATTTCACTGCAAAGGTAAAGCAGGATCTCAGTGAAGAATTTTCCCAGTTTTCTGTGGTGTCCCAAGAGACACCTTGAGCTAATTAATGTAAAGTAATGTTACTAACACAAAAGTGCTTCGTATTATAGTGCATTCGCCTGTTTGGACATGGTAATGACTTTGAATTCCTGTGTGGATTTTTATTTTTTTCAATTATTAACTTAAAAATATGTCAAATCAGAAATTTCTGGAACCTTTCTTTTTCTCCCTTTAGCATAAACCTTGATAGTCATTTTTAAGAGCTTGGAAAACGTCTCCTACTGTCAGATCAATACTGAAAAATTTAAGAGCCACCTCTTTACATCAAGCGAATCGTATGCAGTGAGAAATATTGCTCTCAGTACTCCCATCTGTCTTTTCCCAACAAAATGTTCCACAGCCCTGGACTCATGCACCTGTCTCTAGGAGCTGTGGAAATACACATCTCTGTCCTCCACACTGCTGTGCAGTTCTTCCCTTGGCACAGGGACTGCATCAGCAGGAACACACAATCCCATCTTCCTGCACCGGCGCGTTTGCCGTTTGTGTCGGCGCTCAGTCAGTGCCTTCCACCCGTGTCCCGTACACACATCCTCACTCACTCGCCTCCAAGAAATCAATCCTTACACCTTTCCTGCAGCTGACCTAAGAATTTACACTATCTCCTTCTGACATATTGCTCAGCATGAAACCAACAAGATTAACTCTGCTTTTCTCAGCGAGAACAGGAGAGACCTCAGTGACAGGTACTGGTGCAGAGGGAAATAGGTGAAGTGTCTCTGTGTAGACTTCTTGGTTTTCCCCCTTGGAAGTCCTTGCCTGCCTGCTGGAAATTTTCTCCTCATCTTCCCAATATATATGTTTGTGGTATATTTGTGTCTGTGTGTACATATATGTATATATACAGAGAAAGAGAGACCTATAGTTTTTATATATATATATATGTGTGTGTGCCCACGTCTATAGCTGCCTTTCTCTTGTTTGCCTTTTTTTTGTTTCTATGTCTTTTTTCTCATGTATTGCTTTGATTGTGTGGGGCTAGGGTGGGTATCTGATTCAATAACTCTGTCTTCACCAATTCCTTGTTGTAGACTATTGGGGAGAGTCTTATTACAGTGACCTCATCGACTTGCATCTGGGTGGTATGTATGGCTGAACCTCCTGCTGACACTAACCCTGCTGACACTCCTCCCCACCCTTCCCTTCACCTACTTCTCCCATCCTTGGCTCACAAACAAGAAGAAATAGCCCTTGCACATGACTGATTATAGCAGAACCCCTTTTCCAGCTCAGGAAGAGGAGATCCTGGCATGCTCCACAAACCATGTGTAAGGCTCCCTCTTCTATTTTCCACAGTGCTGGTTATTTCAAAATTTGCTTACTGTTTTCACTCTACCCACCTTCCCTGCTAGCAGTGGAAGGTCATTCTGGTTTTTTGCTTCTACTTTGCAAAGTCC